GCTATAATGTAAATGCTTCCCTGCTTCTCTCTGTACTGCCACCACGTCATCAACGGCTAGGGATGCCTTCACCATTCCTCTCTGCTGCTTGCATTCTACTTGGATGCCAAGGCTGGGCCTCCACCTCACAGCTCTTGTGCTGGGCAGTCTCCTTTGGCCTCCCAGATCCATTCTCCACTCTTCTCTGCCCTCCTCTGTATCCCAGGAGGCTGACTTTGAGGGACCACATCGTCTGAGCTCTCTTGCCCTCTGGCTTCTGACTGGAATAGCCAACAAGAGGGTGGGAAGAGGAGGCCAGAGTACTTATTCCCTTGCTTCCTCCCCACCTGGTTGCTGCAGTTCTGGCTCTGGCTGAGTTTCTCTGTCGTCATGGCTCCCACCAGGCTTTTCCTCACCCCATAGACCAGGGATAGTGACAGCTTCGTGTGATGGCTAGGCCCTAGGTGCTTCACCATATCTTGCTGACTCCCTTAATTCTCTAGAAATCATTTTTTCATTCAATTCTGTTGATTCAACTCTTTGAGAGTTCCATCTATTTCCTGCCAGGATACAGCTACAGTGAGATCTTTCCCAAGAACCCAACTCACCCAATCCTGAGAGGTCAGTCACAGCCACCTCAGGGCATTGGTAGCAAGGATTATGTGCATGGATGGTACACAGAAAGGATCCCTCAAGTAGTCTAATTTGGCTGCCCACTCTGGGCTCTCCCAGCCAACCGCCAGGTATACCAGTCCCTGTCAATCAATGTGCCACAGTCAACTTTTACTTCTGACTTAACTGAGCAGTTCTGACACTACTTCTGAAAGAGCAGCACTTGTTACTGCATGACCCTACCTAAGCACTCCTTGCCTTGCCAGTCACAACCAAGGGACAGCCAATCCAGCCAGCAACCAACCAGATGACTCTCTCGGGTTTTCTATCTAAGAAACTCAGCAACTGACAAGAGTCAGGGTGTGAGAGTTGCTAGATGCAGTTTAGGGTTGACAGCCAAGATGGTCCATGAGAAAGCAGGTAGAAGACAGAAGGTGATGCTCTCACCGGTTTGGCTCAGTGGATAGAGCACTGGCCTGTGGACTCAAGGGTCCCGGGTTCAATTCCAGTCAAGGGCACATGTCCGGGTTGCAGGCTCGGTCCCAAGTAGGGGACGTGCAGGAGGCAGCCAACCAATGATTCCCTCTCATCATTGATGTTTCTCTCTCTCTCTCTTCCTTTCCTTCCTCTCTGAAATCAATAACAATATGTTAAATTAAAAAATAAAAATAAAAAAGACAGAGGGTGGGAGAAGGACCCTGGAGACTAAGTGGGACCATTTGGTTTGTAGACGATTCCCAGCTCTGGTTCCTCTGAGACCTTTGTGTATCTGTTCCTGTGCCTGTTCCTACACTGCCCTGCCCTTCACCCGAATAAGGTTGGGTAAGCTTATGATTCATGCACCAACAAGCCTGAAACAACAGGAGTCCTGTTCTTATGAAAACTCACTAGGCCCGCTGTGGGAATTGGGGCAGGGACCTTGTAGGCATGGAACCTTCTAGACACCTGGATTAAATCTCGGAACAAATGAAGATACAAGGCTGCCATGGTCCAAGAAGTCTGGGGACAGATCAGAGGGATGCCCCATGGGACAGAAAGAACTTCTACCACATTCAGAGAATGTATCAGGAAAAAAAGTAACATAGAGAATAGTTCAGGAGCAACTGAACGTAGAGAAAAAGCTGAGACCAGTCACAGGGAAGGTGGCAATGGAGCAGGAACGGGGATTTTTGTTGTTTTGGCAAGGCTAAGTGGTTTTGTTAGAGAAAGCCAGGACCACAAAAGTCTTCAGAGCTGGCATTCGGACCCTTCTTTTTGCTAAAGGTGGGCACAACATTGGCAAAGCACCGGATGTACTACATCTGTCGCTTGGTGAGGCCTGTCTTTTTCTTCTCCTATTTGGCCACTTTGGGAGTCTAACCTCTCTCTTTCCCAGATGGACCAAGGACCCATTTCAGAAAGAATACAGGGTCAGACCTAGAAGCCTGGTAACCTTCATTCTGGTGACCTCCAAGGCAGGTATAGCCAAGGTTACTTGTTTATTCAACATACTTAATGAATTTGTATTGTGTGCTCAGACACAATGCAGGGTGCCTCTTGCACACACTGCCATACTGCATCGTCCTAACTCCTCTGCAGAATAGGGACAATCTATTAGCTCCACGCCACAGATGGGGAACTAAGCACCATGGGATTCAGTAACATTTCCAAGGTCACACAGCTGGTAAGTGACAGAGCTGGGACGCAACCCCATGTTGCCTCTCTACAAAACCCATTTCTTAACCTCTCTGTTTCTGTCTTTGCCCCTTCAGAGCTAATAGTCTAAAGAGAGAGAGGTAGGTAAACCACTCCTGGTCATGATCTGCCTTCTCAAGTAAGAAACAGGACACCCGCAGTCAGGGGTGGGGCCTTGCTCCAGGACCACGTCTTAGACTCTATTTCTTGGCTTAGTCCTGAGAACTCAATAAATGGTTTTGCTGCTGATGATAATGACAATATTGATAAAAGTATCAATCAGCAGCTAGACGTCTGACTACTCATCCTTTGCTATGCTAACCTTCTAGACCTGCTGATCAGGAATGAATAAATGAATGAACAGATAATAAACAGGGGCAGCTTGTTCTTGTCACTGAAGATCCCTGTAATTCTATGTCTACCTCTTAAACCCAATTTATTAATAGAAAAGAGAACACATTTATGATAAACTCTTGTCTCTGATTGGCTATGACCACATTTATTATGTAAATGAATGAGAGGAAACATGTGGGCACTGGCCTGTGTCCGGACTGGAGGAACAGAATGGTACCCAATATTGACAGCAGCAAAAGCAACAGCAGTAACAAGCCTAGTCAGTGAGCTACCTGGGCACGGAACTGCAGCCTGCAAGACACCACTGTCATCTCGATTATGGACTCACCTCTACCTGAAAACTGGGAAGGGCTCCTAGCCTGTCTCCACACGAGATTACAGCTATACAGGCAGCCTTTTTCCAAAATTTACCCTTCGCTATAAAGATCACTATAGGAGCGGGCTGGAAGGGGTCAATGCGGGGGAAAGGGAGGACATAAGTAATACTTTCAACAATAAAGATTTTTAAAAAAAGATCATTTGAGAAGGGGCCTTAGCCCTCAGACCCTTTTCCACGGCATAATAACTCTCACTGTAGGAAATGGTTTCTTTGCTTCCAACCTAAACCCTTCTTAAGTGTTAAAGTTTATATCTTCTTAAGCAAAAAAGAGACAGCATCTGCTCCATGTTGTGTAACAAATATCATTTGAGGCTAGTAAGTCTGCCCTCAGACAAAATCATTTCCATTTCTTTAACTTTTCTCCTGGGTGTTTGGAATGTGGCTCTTTTTCAAGTTCCTCTAAACATGGACTACACAACAGCAGGACTTGGAATTAGAAATCGAACACCAGATTAGAAACGAGGCACCTGTTGGCCCTGCCACTTGCTGGCCTTGTGACTTTGGGCAGACAGGGACTCCCTGGCCTCTGTCTCCTGTAAGAGGAAAAGGAGACCTCTGCTCAGGAGCACGGGAAGGGGAAAGGAGGCGGGATGATCTCAAGCCACCCATGAGCAATATGTGACACAAACTTGAAGGAAAAATGTGATGAACTGGACTTTGCATTCAAGATCCCTAGGTCTTCTATTTCTAAATGAAATAAACTCTCCGACTCCATGGGTGTGTTGGTTGTTTCTGAGCTTGTTATATGTGGCTTCAGAGTCCAAAGGCGTGTGCTGAAACTTGTTGACTAGAATAAAGGGTATGCAAACATATATGTGTCTCTGAATGATGGAAATTCCTGGAATGTTAGCACACACACACACACACACACACACACACACACACACTCATAAACTGTATCTGTAAGAAGTTAGATCTTTTTCTTTATATGCTTCCAAAATACTCAAAATATTTTTTATCATAAGCGTACATTACTTGTATAATCCAAAAAAACCTAAATGTTATAAATAATGACAACCGCAACCACATCAAAAAGGTTAGTTGAAAATTATAGGTCTAGATCTAGGGCTGCCGTGCCATAATAGGAATAGGATGATACAGCCTTCAAATTTCCCAGTCACTGTTCAATCCATATTTGCTGAGTGCTCAACACTCAACATTAACCACTTACTACGCGATGGCATCATGCAAGACCAGGGGCTGGCAAGCCACAGCCGGTGAGCCAAGTCCAGCCCACCACCTGCTTTCACAGGGTTCCCTCGGAGCACAGCCACACGCATTCGTTTATGTGTTGTCTGTGGCTGTTTTTGTGCTCAAACAGCCCAGCTGAATAGTTACGACAGAGACTATGTGGCCTGCAAAGCCTAAAATATGTACTATTTGGCCCTTCAGAGAAAAAGTTTATTGGCCCCTGAGTTAGGCAATGAGGGTTCAATAGGGAGCAACAAGAGCCCTGGGCCCTGCCCTCATGGTCCTTAGGGTCTAGTTGGGTGGAAGTCAATTAGTGACACAAATAAATGTATAATTGCAACATGCTAGCAACAAAAAGGTATGTTTGGTGCTGCTAGAGAGTGTTCCCGATGGTTGACCTGGTTGGGAATACCATGGAAGACAATAAAACAAAAACAAAAATAGCAGGTACAAAGTCCTTATGATAGAAATTTAAACCAAAAAAAAATTTTTTTTTAAACAAACTTAGAAATAAGCCAAAGTGCTAGAGGTAAAAGCCTGACAAGGTCTGTGACACCAGATAAGGCAGGGAGGGGAAAGGGAGACAGAGCAGGAAGGACTCTGAAGACCACGATAAGGGCTTATCTTTATCTGAAGGAAAGTGGGGAGTCCCCACGCGTTTCCAGTGAGACTGTTGGAGACATGATGGGATTAGTGCTTGGAGGGGATTTCTCTGGCTCCCAGTGGAGAAAGGCTAGGGGAGACCCAGGGGCTAACCAGACAGGAAGCTGTTTTGCAGAGAGGGCTGGACAAAGATGATGGGAGCTCGGACCTCAGAGTGCAGATGGTAGGGGTTGCAGGGGTGAAATCTGTCCGGCTGAGGTGCAGAAGCAAGGTCATCAATCATCCCAAACGGACCACTCAGACGTGAAGGAATTGTCCGACGTTATCCTAGGTACCAGGGTCCAGATGTGGTAGAGACAGCCAAGAATGAGGAAAGGCCTTTCATGACTCATAAACTCTGCTTTCCTTCCCCCACATCTCCGTGTGTCCTGATGATGGGGGGAAAGAGACGTTTTGGGGGGCTAGCAATCTGAATCTAGTCACTGCCCCTTTAATTGTCTGGTCCTGCAAGACCTGTTTACTCCCACTTTAGAGAGGCCTTAAACCTTCCCCAGACCAAATTATCAGTGCTGGTGCCAGGCCAGGCCTTTGGTTGAGGTCTCAAAGCCCCAGCACATAGGGCTCTTTAAGAACTTGCAAAGGGAACCGGAAAACCCCATATTTGGGAGACAAAGGACTGAAAAAAGTATAAAAAGGGAAAGCTTCCTCCATGTTTTTTTGCACAGAATTTGAAAGACATTTTTCTCTGGGCCCGTGCATAATAATAATAAAGTGTAACTCCATTTCTCTAAGCGTTGCTTGGTTTTTCTCCAGTCCTCTGTAACACTGAGACCACGGTGGATGCCCAATCTTTCAGAAACATAAATAGTGGCCATTTCCTCACATGGTCCCTGTTCAATCATGTATCATGGTCAGTTGGTTCAACAAAGTGATGTGTGTGGACCAACTTGGGCACTGAGAAGTTATAAACACTAAGATAATGGCCAGGAAATTTCCTGAAACCAACATTGCCATCTCCCCAACACGCAGCAAAGGCTCATTTAGCATGCTGGGTGGAAGCCAGGTGACCTGGGACTATGACAGATGTCAGTGTTGTAGGCAGTTAGACAGACGGGAACAGAGCAAGAACGATGGGCCAGGTACAGAAGGTCATCAGGGTGGAAATTTCCAGGTGCTTAACAATGGACAATCAATTTTTGCAGGGTGGGAACTCTCCCCAGGGTAACTTTCCCTCCCCTAGCATATCGCTGATCAGCTGATCATTCGGTTTGGACCCCCTCCCTGGCCTTTCCTCCCTAGAGATAACATCTAGGCCTCAGTTGTATTTCAGTTCCAGGCCCAGATAAGCAAGAAAACCTGCCACAGGTGACATCAGGACCAGCTGCATTGAATACTGACCCCTGCCCTGGCACCCATCAATCACACAGTGGAGACCACAACCCTGAAAGCACACACTTGGAAAACTACTGAATATTTTATTGAGATCTTCCCTGGGACCTCCCCTAAAATCTATACCCCTAAAACCCTTAGGATAGAGGACCTCCTGGGAGCAAGCTCCTGCCTTTCCCTTCCCTCCCCTTGGCAAGTTACCATTAGCTTCCTCACTCCCAAGCTCCAAAGGGAGCAAGCTCCTGCCTTTCCCTTTCCTCCCCCTGGCAAGTTACCATTAGCTTCCTCACTCCCAAGCTTCAAGGGCCCTTCCTTTACCTCTGGAATTTGTTTGCTAAGCCCATTTCTTCCAGGAATTGCTTTATCTACCTCTGTAATTTACCCAATACATGTTCTCTTACAATCTGGGTCTTGCTCTGAATTCTTTCCTAGCCAGAACCCAAGCTCCAAGGTTCTGAACCCGGGTTTGGTCTGACCCCACTGGTCAGACACCTGGTGCTGCTCCCACCGCCTCCAACATAAGGACTTGCACAGGGACTTCGGGTTACTACCAGTCATACAGGGGAAGGGAATGTCCGCACTTTCAGGAGGCCGGGTGGTCTGAGTGGGAGCAAAGGCCCTCTTCCGGCCCAAAGTGGGGCTTCCTGCTTTACTGGGCTAAGTTTCAGAATGTGCTGTCAGCTGACTTAACTTCCCTGGGGACACGGGCTGGGTGCATGGGAGGGGCTCCTGAACTGACTGGGCTGAAAGCTGGGTGAGTGGGTCTCTACCTCTGCTCCAGAGGAGAATCTGTGCAGGGCGTGGTTTGCCCGCCCCTTCCCCTCGGGCAACTGGCATCTGGTCAGGAGCTGGGCTCACCTCAGGCTCAGGTACTGTACCCAACCCACCTCCAGCAGCAATAGGCCTACACCCCCACAGGTGCAAGCACCTCCTTATTCCCACCACACTCACTGTGACCCAGGGGACAATACTTGTTTGACAGAGTCTTTAGATGATCCATTCCCCTCCACCCCAAGCTGGTGCCTTAAGGAGAATGTCTGAGAGCACAACCACCATAGGACGTGCTCACCACAGGCGAGAATAGAGCAACATTGCAGAGGGCGGCAACAGCACCCTCAGCCAATGCAGCACAAAGGTACACCTGCGGCTGTGAGCATCTGGCACTCATTGGCATGGTGCTCTGATGCTCTATAACATCCTAGAAAATGGATGTGTGACCTTTCGAAAGAGGAACTTCATTCAGGAGAGCTAAAAAGGAGTTCTCCTATTACATTAGTGGGTTTGGTAACAGAGACAGTTGCATATGTTCTCTAGTGTCAGGCAACTTGAGTTCAAACCCCAGTTCCGCCACTTCCTAGCTCCATAAAAAATGGAATAACTGAACCTCTCTGTGCCTCCGTTTCCTCCTCTGCCTAAGGAGGATAATAATAATAGCACCTATTTCCTACAGTTGTTGTGAAGACTGAGATTACATGTGGGGGGAAATGCCTAGGACAGTGCCCAGTATGTGGTAAGTACCCAGCGAGCCCTAGAAGCTCCATTGAACACCTGAAAGCATCTCACACTTAGCTCCTCTCACCCCGGCTTCCCCTTTAGTATCCTCATCTTATTCATGGCCATGCCATTTTTCCAGTCGTCCGGCCAAAGTCCTTGAGTCATCTGTGACTCCTTCCTTTCTCTCACCCCAAAGACCCTTGACTCTTTCTTCAAAAATAAATCCAGAACTAGATTGCCATTACCCTGGTCCAAGCCACCATTGCCTCTTGCCAGATTATTGAAATCTCCTATCTGGTCTCTGCTTCTGTCCTGAAACCCATACAGTCTGCTCTCAATGTGGCAACCAAAATGATGATATTCAAATGTTAGTCAGGTCACATCAAAACTCTCTGCTCAAAGCTGGTACAGTGGCTTCCTGTCTCACACGAGGTAAAAGCCAAATTTCCCACATATAACCCAGAGGCGGGATCTACCATTTCCCACCCCACCTGTCTGACCTCATCTCCTGCCATTCACCTCATTTATCCTTCTCTAGCTGCACTGGCCTCTTCAAATATGGAGGAACACTCAGGCCCCAGGGCCTTTACACTTGCTGTTCCCTCTACCGAACAACCTTCCCCCAGATACCTGCATGTCTGGTTTTGTCACTTGCTTTGGGTCTGTACACAGAGTCACCTTTTCCTGGGTAACTCATATCCTTCTACCATGCTTTATTTTTCTCTTTCGTACTTCCTACTATTTACTAAGCTATGCCTTTTATTTATCTTATCGCTTATGTCCTCTATTAGATATTAAGCTCCATGAAAGTAGGGATTTTTGTCCGAGTCACTGATCTATTCCCAGGGCCCAGAACAGTGCCTGGCACATAGCAGGTCTTGGAATAGACATTTGTTGATATATTAACCAATGGAGCCTCCAGGGCTTTGTGAAAGCATTAGGTAGTCCTGCCAACTGAAGGTCAGTCAAAACTCAAGACCATAATCCTTACAGTTAAGGTGCAAGTCAATGGGAACACGTCATTTAATTTACATTTCTGAACACTACTCAGCTATCTGTTAACTCAGCAAAACAAAATGTGCCCTTATTTTCAGTTTTGATTAAAAATATAAAATGCCCTCAGCTAGACTCTTGATTGAACCACTCTTCCGTCAGGCACGGAAGTAAATGCATGACTGGAATACTAAGTGGTGCTTCTCTATTTGGTTCACCCTATGAGGTGGTTTCTTCTTTATTCCCCCTTCCTTTCAGTGGCCGCATAGATATATCAGCAGGCAACCAATTATCACTGCCATAGATGTCAGGTTCTATGGAACAAAAGGGCAAGCAGGAGACATGATATGCAACTTGAAGGAGAAAACATTCTCGAGCTAACAGTAATTCTAGGAGCAAGACCAGACCACTGGAAGTGACAGCTACTGGCAAGTGGGAGGACTTATTTTTTCCAATTTTCACTTGTCAAGCCAACAGTGTAAGAGAAAGAGAAATTTGAAACCCAAAGAACAAAATCCTTATGTCTCAAGGAAAGCACCATTCAATCACCATCAGCCAATAACGAGCTAGCGACAATCCGAAGGTGGGATTTTCAGAATGGTATGTTAGAAGGAAAGCCACAAATCATCCAAAGAACTGGATTAATTCAGCCAAATAAAAAATAAACTAACAAATCTAGTCAGTCAATTTGGAAGCTGGAGAAAACACTGGCATTGTGATTGGAAGGCAGCAGGACAGAGTAGAAAGAGGGCTAAGAACTTTGCGGCTGGGCAGCCATAAGCTTCAGTCCAGGCTTTGCCATCTAGCAGTGTCTGACCTTGGGTAAGTTATGTAACCGCTCTGAAGCTCAGTTTCCTAAACTATAAAACATGGAGCATAATAACTATAAAACGTGGAGTTGTATGAATGAGTTAATTTGTGAAGACCTTTGCACCTAGTAAGGATCAATAAACAATAGTTCCTTTCCTGGACTGTCCAAATTTAAGCCTGAACTGAGAGAATGATGTACAGATCTGCCACCCCTGGACTGTTTCAGGACAAAATGTCCTACAATGTTCTGCCAATATAGGGCAAGTACCTTAACTTGCTCCTGAAAATAATCGCAAATCAAATGGAAACACTGAAATCAGAGATAAATAAAAAGAAAGGGAGAAAAATGCAATGAAGAATAGCCCACGTGCCTCCTGTTTTGTTTTGGGGTGTGTGTGTGTGTGTGTGTGTGTGTGTGTGTGCTTTGCTATTTGCATTCAAGTAAAGAAGAAATTGTGAGCGACTGACAGGGATTCCTCTGTCAGGTGCTCAGCCTGACCCAGGCTCAGCGTAATAGATTGGAATGTAATTGCTCACTGCTTGTTTTGTAACAACACACCTCTTGGTTGATCAGGACAGGGAGGGTGGAGGTATTTCTGGCGCCTGTTTTGTTTTTGTTTTTTCAGTTACCTAAATCCATCCACTCAATCTTCCATTCGGTCAATCTCCACCTTGCACTTTCTGAGCACCTGTTATACAAATCTGGGACACACGCCTTGCATTTGAGAAGATACACAGATGG